TAAATTTATAATTTTTTTCTTAAACTCATTTTATTCATGTTATATATTAAGAGTATTTTCCATTTAAAAAGTAATATCCAATGAAATTAATTGATAAAGAGGTATTGAAGAGAAATTAACATACTACTTTTTTTTAATAAATAACTAATTTAACTATTTTTTAATATTTATAAATCAATCATTTAGTTTTTATATTTAAAATTGAAGGAAGTAATTTGTACCAAGCGGCAGGTCTTGGAGCCCTACTCAATACTAGGCGTGTCATCTTACTCATGCTAATTTTTAGCCAAATCCCCTCATAATTTAGAGAGAAAATGTTGTGCAATATAAAATCATTTAAAATATCCGTTATTATTCAGAAAACTTTTACGAACTGTGGGACGCTAAAAGAGAAATTTTTTCGACAGCCGTCCAAGACGCACGATGAAGCAGCATATTGTAATGCAACAAGGCAGCACCGTCGACAAGCGACCTTCCAAGAAACAGGAATAAGAGACTGAAACAAAGAGATAAATATTAATATGTGAAAAAGAGGCACTTGTTGATCTCTGAATCTGAAGAAACTCGTTTGAGGAGAAAGCAAAATTCTGCAAATTCTGAAGCTGCCATTCTTGAGGCCTTTGCTTGAGACCTATTTCTTTCTTTCGCTTCCCTCCGCATATCCAGGTCAATCTCTTCTCTTTTACTTGTTTCATCCCATGTCAATCGCTCCATCTACTGTTTTGCAAGCCTTTCTTGGGGAATTTTCACAGAAAAATTCTGCATAAGATTTGCTGTTTTGTTCTTCTTGTGCTAGCTGTTGATTATATATTCAATCTCTTCCTTAGCTACCTTACTCTCGTAGATCTTATAAAACTTGAACGTTTAGAAATTTTTATACTTTAACTTCTGAAAAAGAAAGTCCCAAAACCTTCGAACATATGGGTGGCCTTGATCTATTAACTACTTCATTTATTTTAAGAACTTGTTTGAAGAGGAGGAAGTCTGCAGATCTTTGCCATCTTTGCGAACTATCTTCCCTTCAGATCCAGGTTAATACTTACATTCTTCTCTTTTTTCTTCCACTTGCTTCATCCCATCTATTTAGTCCTTTGCAAGAATTTTTATCTGAGGTTCTAGGAAAGAACAAAAAAGGGAGCAGGTTATTAAACCGATCAAGACACCCTTTAAGGGTTAGTGGGTCAAATCGGAATCAGACCGGTAATAATTAAAATAATATAATTTAATTAAAATTGATAAAAATATTCATATTCTAATTATAAAAAATAATATTTAATTTTTAAATGGGTAATCATGTTACAAAATATTTATGTATATAAATATTTTTTATTTCTCTTTCTTATTTTTTTCTTTGTTCTTTCCTGTGACCTTTTTTTCTAAAAAATTTTTTATCGTTTCTTTTCTCTTCCTCTTTCTTCTCTCTCCCATGTGCACTCCTCTTTTTCATTTTCCTCCTTATATCACGCATCACGAAGCAGTTTTTCTATCTTCTTTTTGCCTCGGACAGTGAACAAGCAAAGTAGAATAGACTATCAGCTATGGGTCTTGCCTCACACGCGTCATCATTGTCCCTTCTCTCTCAAATTGCTCCCTGCCTTCTTCGCTTCTCTTTCTTTCTTAAATGGAGAAACAACAAACTCTAGCACCATTTTTTCTCTATACACTTCATCCATTCCTCCTACTCTATTATATTTTTGCTTGTCTTCCTGTTTGCTATGGTTATGCTTCGAAGCGGCGCAAACAAAGTTGTATCTTCCTCCACCTTCATGATCTGCTCTATTTCTACCACTTGTCTCTGCAGTATTCATCTTCTCCGCAAACGGTAAGGCATCCGGCGAACAATGAGAGATAACAAGAAGGGGGGGAAAAACAATTGGCCAGCCCAATCAAACCAGCGGTTTGCCCTAATTTTTTCGGTTCATTCCAGGTTGATTGGGGGCCAGTTTTTAAGTTAAACTAGACCGGACCTCAGACCAGTTCACTGGTTTTCCGGTTGACTCGGCCGGTTCGGTCTAGTTTTTTTCTCCTTGGGTTTTAGAGTTTGTTTACAGAAAAAAATTCTGCAAATTAAAATCTTGCTTGATTTTCTTTTTCTGCAAAAATTATGCAACTACCTTGTGGTTATCTAACGAAAGTTAAGTCTATTTGGTTTGTGTTTTTAAGACAGTTTTCTGTTTTTAAAAAAAGCATATTAACGAAAGTTAAGTCTATTTGGTTTGTGTTTTTAAGACAGTTTTCTGTTTTTAAAAAAAGCATATTTGCAAACACATTTTTTAAAATTTATTATAAAAACAAAAAATACAACATGTTTTTTTCAATGTTATGTTATTTTTGGAAAAATCACAAATAAAGACTCCCGAATTCCCAAAATTACATAAAGGTCACCTGAATAAGCAAAATTATCATGAAGGACCCGTTCCCATATTGCAAATATGAAATCTTAGTGAAATGTCTGAAATACCCTTCAGTCAAGTGACAAGTTGACTATAGGAAATGACAAGTTCACTTTAGTGAACGACAATTTCAATAGACTAAATCACAACTTGGTTGAAAGGACGTCATCAAATAACAAGTTGACTATGGGAAATATCAAGTTTATTTTAGCGAATGACAACTTCAATAGATCAAATTACAACTTGGCTAAGGGGCATTTCAGACATTTCACCAAGATTTCATATTTACAATGTGAGACTAGATCCTTCATGGTAATTTTGCTTATTCAGGTGACATCTGTGTAATTTTGGTAATCCGGGGATCTTTATTTGTCATTTTTCCTATTTTTTTTCTAAATATAAAATTAGAGAAGAGCCTGATAATATTGTACTTTCATTAATAACAATCATACAAATAAAACAAACTATTCTTTTACCCTTCGTTTTATCATTTTAAATATTTCAAAATAATGATTCAGATATTTAAATTTTTTATTTTAAAAATTTATTTTACATGATTGTTTTTAAAATATTAAAATAAATTGAGCTAAAGGTTATTTTTGTCCAACTAGTTTTGATGGAAGTTATGAATATCTGCAACCCAAACGGTCAGCTAATCACTGTAGCAATGTGGAACTTGCCCGAGAAAACCCAAACTGTGAACTGATCAAACTCGATCTGGCTTCTGCCTTTCTCGGGTCTAGGGGATTTAGATTTTCTTGAGTAGCTTTCGTTGGGGCAAAGGCTAGGTCTCTTTATCCTTCGCTGCTTCCATTCTTGGCACCTCCGTCGGCAGCGTCTCGGCCACTCGCTTCTCTTTTGCTTCAATCGGTGCCTCTTCGACAGTGACTGCCGTTGTTTCTCTTGCTCGTAATTGAGAAATGGGCACCTTCTTCTCGCTAGATCTGACAGCTTAGGCATTCCTATTGAGGGAAATTGAGGAGAGAGAAGCCCTTTCGGAAAAACTGAGCAATGGAGGTCTTGGGTTTTGTTATTGAACTCTTCATTGTGGCAAAACGATCCCTTCTTGTTTAAGATGCATTAAGATCTTCTCTAGTTCTCTCGAGTTTTCATCTGTTCCTATGGTTTGAAACGGAGGAGTCGACACCGGCAGAAATCCTACGCGTTTCCCCCATTTTGAAGAGCTTCGACATTCCGTTTCTCTCTTTCAACATGACTACATGAGGGGGGACGCGATAGATTCAAATTGGAGATGATGAATACTGAAAGTGGTTCTAATTCAAACTCCATTCTTATCTTGCCGACAACGATCTCATTGGGTGGCTCTTTGATGGCACGTTTGGTATTTTATATTTATTACGTGGCATAATATGTGAAATACACGTGGCATGCTATGAGAGAGAGTCAACTCAGCATTTTTGTCCCTTTGCATCTGTTTGGGTATTTGGGTAAGACTGACATTGGAAAACTTGTCGCAAAGTACAGGAAAAGGAATATAATTATTTAAAAATTTTAGTAACTATAAAATAATAACAAATTTTAATATAAGAAATAAGAACTGCTCATTTATTATTAAAATTTATTAGTAATTCTCCTATTAAGATTTCTACGGTTTTACTACTTTCAGCACAGTATTGTTGGGGGGAAAAAATTTTTCGAGTACTCAACTCTTTTGGAAAATTTTGTGAAAATCCCTGGAACAAAAATGTTGTTTAACCCAAATAAAAAAATAAAATCAAACTAGATTTTTTTTTTGGCCAGAAAAATCAAACACTTCAGGTTTGAAAACTATATTTCTATGTATGTTGTATATTGCTCAAAAACTATGTGACTTGTTTTTTAAAATAATGATCCAAACAATTTTTTAATTTTTTAATTTTAAAGTATGTTGTAAAAAAATTACTGTACAAAATTGTTCTAGAAACATAAAGAATAAAATCAAACAAGCCTATTTTCATGTCCTTTTCCGTACTGTTAAGTTCTTATAATTCAACAGGCATTTTCATTTTCACGATGTTGGTTTCGTTCATCTACGCATTTCATGTTCAGATAACAATCTAACATTATTCTAATTAGAAGATCTAGTTCGTAGGAGCGAAGATAGTATATGTTAGCGCGCATGTTACAAATTTATAGGCGTTTGATCTTTATTGGCGGGTTAGGAATGAAAGGAAGTTATCGTATAATGATTTCTTATTTACAAAACTTCGAACAATATTTTAATTTAAAAAATAAAAAACCGAATCTGTAATTATCGTTACTCATGATGCTCGCATTTTGTTGTGAAATGAAGCAGAAGACGGGGAAAAAAATAGATGCAGTGAAAAATGCTACTCTCTGTACTTTTTAATAAATTCATATTCATAACAAATATAATAATTATCATTCAACAATATATTTTTATTAATGGGTATATCTGAAGAACTTGTTTGAAGTGGAGGAAGTCTGCAAAGCTTGAAGCTGACATTTTTGAGAGCTTGTGGGCTACCTTCTTTTGCTTCCCACCACATCCGCCAGGTTAATACTACCCATTATATTCTTTTCTTTTTCTCTTCCACTTGCTTCTTCCCATTGATATACTTTTTTGCAATTATTTTCTTTTCACAGGAAAAATTCTGCAAAAAATTTTGTCATTTTCTTCTTCCTTCTGGTGTCGAGTCCCGCCTCTGGCTACCTTACTGGCATAGATCTAATCAACTGGCACAGATCTAATCAACTTTTTGGTAGTTTCAGGTTACTGAAGGTTGAAGCTAGAAATTGCTATCACATGGATGGAACCATTGCTTTAACCCTCATAGAAGCTTTGTTGATCCTATTGGCTTTATCAATTTCCCAAGCTATCAAATACATCTCTCCTTCGCTTTATGGTAGCCAACCTGATGCTGTTGATGATAGGTAGCTAGCTTCTTCTAAATAACTTCATCAAACTCTATTTTCTTGTTTGATTTTTTCCTAAGCTACAACCGAATATTTGTTCACGGTTCGTTTCCATCTGTAGTTTTAAAGATGATGTGATTTTAACTCAAACGGTTTCCCCTCCTGCTACCAAGTATGATGTGTTCCTCAGTTTTAGAGGAGAAGACACTCACCACACTTTTGCAAGTCATCTCTACAGAGGACTTCATAATGCAGGCATTCACACTTTTATGGATCATCAACTCCGCAAAGGAGAACAAATCTCACCAGTTCTTTTGAGAACAATAGAAGAATCTCAAATATCTATGATTATTTTCTCTGAGAATTATTCTTCTTCGAGATGGTGTATGGATGAGCTTGTTCACATATTAGAATGCAAGAAAAACTTTGGAAGGGTTGTGATACCTATCTTCTATAACATTGACCCTTCACACATACGCAAACAAAATGGGAGTTTTGGAAATGGATTTGATGTGTTGAAGCAAAGATTTAAAGACAGCCAACAAAAATTGCAAAAGTGGAGAAATGCTTTAATCCAATCTACAAGTCTCTCTGGATGGCATTCCAATGCTACCAGGTAGCTTCGAAAATGTTCCCTTTGTGTTGGTTTTGGAGATTTATTTAATTAATTCTAACATTCTAACAAATTATTGTAGTTTTTTTTTTAATTTTCTACCTATTAAATATTCCTTTTTTCTTGTTTAACATATTTGCTAGACCTGAATTCAAACTTGTTGAAGAGATTGTTAGAGACACTTTGAGCAAGTTAAGGTACAATTCATCATCTCATCTTGAAAGACTTGTTGGCATTGCTGGTCATATTGAAAATATTGAAAACTTCTACCAAAGGCTGGCATTGTAGGAATATGGGGCATGGGTGGTGTTGGTAAGACTACACTTGCTAAAGCCATATTTCAAGAGTTAAAAGCTCAATTTGATGCTTTCTCCTTTATTGAAAATGTCAAAGAGCAATTAAAAAGAATTAGTTTGGATGAGCTACAGAAAAATTGCCTCAGAGAATTATTAGAAGATGAGGACATTAGTATCTATGACATAAAATCTACTTTTGTGAAAAGTAGGCTTCGACGCAAAAAGATTCTTCTTATACTTGATGATGTGGACAATTCAAAAATAGCTGACAATTTAAGCAAAGTGTGTGATTGGTTTGGGGAAGGAAGTAGAATTATTATCACATCAAGAGACATGCAAGTGCTTAAGAATGCTTCTGCATTTTCAACATATCATGTTCCGGATTTAGATTTTGATGATGCCTTTCATCTCTTTAGTTTGAAAGCATTCAAACGAATTGAGCCGTCTAAGGATCATCTGGAGTTATCAAAATCAATAGTGAAATATTGTCAAGGAAATCCATTAGCCTTGGTAGTACTAGGTTGCTTTCTCTACGGCAGAGGGAAAGAAGAGTGGAAAAGTGCTTTGGAAAAAATAAATCAAGCTCCACCCAAGGACATCGTTGATGTTTTGAAGTTAAGTTTAGATGGACTTGATGACAAACAGCAAAATCTGTTTCTTGACCTAACATTCTTAATCAAGGAAAGGGTTTATATTTCTTTGAATATAATAACACAGTTATATGGCTCTTCTGTGCACATTGAGATGAGTGTTCTTAAAGAGAAATCCCTCATTTCATTTAATAATCATAATGATTTCATTGTGATGCACGATCTTGTCAGAGAAATGGGCCTTGAAATTTCTAGCCAACAATTATACTCTAGACGTAAAACTGCTATTCGACTATGGAGGCACGAGGACATTTATGATTTTTTCATTTCTGACAAGGTAAGGATATATTTAATTATTATGTTTATTATTATTTTATCTCATTTTCTTTATCGTCCCAATTGTCATATTCATATATCATGCTTTTTACTCTTTTAAAATCTTTGGTGGCAAGTGTCAACATTTATCTTGAAGTTCTTCTGTTTTATTTTCTCTGATTAGAATATTCCCATAAGAAAATCTTTCTCGATTTAAATGACTGAAGTTGCATTGGGATGTAATATAATCTATTCGATCATCTATCCAAACTTTAAATATAAATTAGGACTATTGTAACATGTGTTATTTTAAATGATAAAATTGGTCTACAAAGGATTTTCATGAACTGATAAATGAAATATATCCTCACAAGACTGATTTTTCTTACTGATTAATTGGAGTAGTTTAAGTGTGTATATCCACACGCCTGCGTGTGCATGCTATTACCAAAGTGTATGAAAAATGAAAACAAACAAAGTGTATATTAAGGCGAGGCTATAAGGTGGTTCCATGCTATAAAGTGTAAGTATGTTTATGATTTTTGAGAAATTCACCAGGAAAACATAGAATTGTAAGAATTCCGGAATAAAATACACATAATATCGTTATTAAGTTGGATGTTTCGAAGAGTAGAAATATTTAATTGTTCTACAGTATTTTTGATCATTTTTTAATTTAGGCCAATGATAATTCTGCTTCGTCCCTTGATTTTCTATTACTAGGGGACCGAGGCAATTCGATGCATGTCATTGGATGCAAGCAAGATAAAAAGGATTACATTGAGGGCTAATAATTTTCGAAAGATGCATAATTTGATATTCCTTAAAGTTTACAAGTCTGATCATAGAAAGCCTTCAAAGTTGAATATTTGTGAAGATATGGATTATCTTCCAGAAGAATTACGTTTTGTTAGTTGGGAAGAATATCCATTGCCATATGTCCCATTGCATTTCTGTGCTGAGAATCTTCTGACACTTGAGATGCGTAATAGTAATATCCGACAACTTTGGGGTGAAAATCAGGTACCTATCATTTTTCACATGTCTTAATTATTTTGTTCTTGTCTGATTGTAAGATCTCGCATCAAATATTGACCAAATGCTTGACAATGCAAATGTTTGCTTTGCGCCCTATAAATTGATTGTTAAATATACTGGTTGTACTTTTTGTTGGGAATATCCAATTGATCTTAGAACCGGTTTGGAGCATCCAAAGCTCATCTTCTCTAGACTGTTTAGATCTAATTTGTACGATCCTGATTTAATATTTTTAATTAATTATTTTTAAAAAACAAAAATTATTTATTAAAAAAGTGATAGTTAAAATATTTTCTATACCCATTAAAATATTTATTTTAAAAAAATAAAAATGAAAAAGAAATTAAATTTGGATTGTCCTGATGAGATGAGCTTTGGATGCTCATTTTAACTTGTTCCATTGATCTTGTAATTGGCAGGCGAGAAATTCTTGATTAAATTGTACGTACGTGTAGTTATCTAATTTATATAACACTATCTGCTTTTTTTCCAGCATTTTCCAAATCTGAAGCAAATCAATCTGTCCGATTCAAAAATCTCAGTGCACTCCCAGATCTGTCTCAGGCCCCTAAGATTGAAGTCATGGATCTTGAGGGTTGTGTGAATTTACGTCTAATCCATTCTTCAACTGCCCTGGAAAGAATGTCCGATTAGGCATAGATGATAGTGGGCCAGTGCAGATAAACTTTGGGGGCAGTATTAAAGGAACAAGTTCAGGGTTAGTGATTGTGTACAATTATTTGGATCTTCCTAGTTTGTCATTCCATAAAGTGACAATGAAGCTGTTCGTATGTGGCAAGATCATCTCTGGTGTTCGATACAAACATGTGGTAATGCCATTGGCAGAGATAGCAGAATTGAGGATGGGGATACGAAGTGTGGCGTCTTTACTTCCATTTGTGAGGAAACTTGAATGGTTAGAGAGTCCAATTGAGTATGGGGATGATTTCAAGCAACACCATGCATACGATGTTGCTTATTCTTCCCGTTATAATCTTTTCGCCCCTGACTTTTCGCTTTATTTGAAGCTGAGAGGTGACAGAGGAGAAAGGGGTGTGATGATGGGGCCATTAAGAAGAAAAATGATTACTGATAACGGCTATATAGTGATCGCGACGACATTAATGGAAGATGAAGAAGAGGATGATGATGGTAATGAGTTAATGGAATATGGTTGTCACATCAGTGCTATAAGGGTTCCCAACAACATCACTCGCTGGTCATTATTGACGAGACTGACATTAAAAGAGAGTGATATTATTATTGGAAATAATAATGCAGATTGCAGCATTCCTCAGCTTTCAATCCTCAAATCACTAATTGCACTCTCTCATGATTCTTGCAGAAGGACGATTCAGCCTCATTTAGATGTAAAGCTCTCTTTACGTGATGATCATTCTTTCTTTGTCTTATATAATTGCTGGGAGATGACGCCACAACATCCCTATACATATCCTTATAATCACTGGTTCAGCTGTCGATCTAATAATTTCAGGTCAAACCACAATTCTGATTATTGTGACTTAATCATTGACTTTGGAGAGTGGTGGTGATTTTTTAATTATTATTATTTAAATCAGTCTCTCATTTAGTTTTTCATTATTGTATATTAACATTTTGTTTTATCAAAACTTTGTTTTATTTTTTTTATATAAATAGTTGGAGTGATGATATGAATTGTCAGGCCAATATATATATGTGTGTGTGTGAGAAAATACATTTCCAAAAACACTTGCCTTAAATTCCTTATATCCATTATATTAAACTTTCCAATATAAAACACATGGTGATGTGTGATCGAAAAATTCAACATAATAAATATTAGAAACTTGGCATAACTATTTTTCTTTTCAAAACATATTAGTAGGATAACATATAATGTTACGAAATTAGTTGGATCATTAAATTAGTCAACACACGACATTGTAGCAACCTCATAAATAATTGAATTATTGGCTATTTAACTTTTATTGAACCGTTTCCTATTACATTTCAATTTCTCGAGTACAGGGCATATTTTTCTTCCTCTTTTTTTTTTTTTTTTTTGGGGTGGGGGCCTTTCATTTCTTTGTTGTGTTTTGTACACGATTCCATGTTTTGAGCTCCACCCATGAAAACCATCATAGCCCAGTTCTACTTAATTATATTCTTAGGACCAAAATTCATATTTAAGCTGAAGTAGCATTAGTACTAGCAGCAATTTTTGAAACTTAATCACAAGATATTAAAAGTCGAACTCGATTACAGCAGATGGAGACATTGACTTAAGGATTGATAGTTAGATCATGATTGAACCAAGGTCAGATCAGTCCTACTCAAGTTAAGTATATTTTAGAATTGGATAGAGTAAATATATAAATTATTGGGAAGTCCAATCGGATAGAGTACTGTATTAATTATTAGGAACTCAGATTATCATATGACGTGACTGTGAAGAGTAGTTTTCATGTTATGTCATTCTGTTAGCTGTGCGTGATCAGGTGATTGATAAGTACCTTTCTCAAGCTATTTATATTGATAAGATTTTTTGTAATCTAAAGCAAATTAATTTTTTTAAGTATCCTCACTGTAACATTTCTCAAATAACTAAAGGAATCTCCTAATTAACCAAGTAATCTCTTGTAATTAATGAGCTCCAGCTGACTAAATGAAAGCGAAAACTATCTCATGGTGTATTCTCTTTTTTCATAATCCACTTGCATTGCTTGATCCCATTGATCTCCAGTTTTATAATTACCAGCATTTTATGGAACTTTTATGGTTTTATTTTTTTCGTACAGAAGAATTCTGCAAAATTTCTGCTAGCTAGCTTCTTGTTGTTGTGTTGAATCTCTCTGTCTTGCCGTCATTTAGCTAACTACTTTGTAGATCTATTGAAACATAGGCGCGTGAGATCTATAATAACCATACTTAGCTTGAGCATCTATAATTTTATGTAAAATATAATGATTAAAAGAAAAAGAATAACCAAGAGGTTGGGGTATTATAAGGAGTATTAGAAAGAGGTGAGACAATAGAAACACCAAAATGTATATGTTGTATAATCCCCAAATTTCATTATATTGAATTATTAACAACTCATTCTGATTCTAAATAGAAGAGCTTATACATCTTGGTGTTACTCTTTAGTTTGCTTTTTTGTTTTTTTGGTTCTGTTCTATTTTCAGTTCAGTTGTTGTTTCTTGCTTAAGCATGGCTGTTTTTCTTGGGTGATTTTATTTTGCTGTTGTGTTTTTTCATTTTTCAGGGTCGTCATCTTCCATTTGCACGAACTATGGTGAGTCATGGGGAGGAAACTAGTTTTTTGTGAGTGTATGAAGATACTTATAGACTGCCTACTAACAAGAGCCTCACATCAACAA